ATTATCACTAATTTCTTAAAGTTTAATAAAAGAAGAACGAAGAAGCGCTAAAGCCAAATGTTTTATGGGTAATATAATATATGTAGTGGTAATTCGAGGACACGCTTACTTTTATATGAAACTTATTGCTTCCTTACTTATGCATGTATTTAACGAATCGAGTAAATATTAGATATTTTTAACAATAGCAGCTGTTTTACTATACACGGACTATGTTTTTTACTAAAAACGTAACGATATTCTTTCGGAGATGAGACATCCTTGAGAATATGTTTTCTATTCTGCTTTGAAGAAATGGGAAGGAGAAACTTATAAGATTGCATTCGACCTTGTTGGTAACTTTTCTCGATTTTATTCGTATATTTTAAAATAAAACGAGTCACAAGAGTTATAGATTATATGGTAACAATTTAAAATATTTTCATATTGCATGCAACTTTTTAGAAAGCTCTGGATTATTCTCTACGTCTACAGAATATTTTATGATACAGTCCAACAATTTGCAGCACTTTGATATGTTGTAAAGACAATAGTTGACAATTGCGGTAATATATATATATATATATATGTATGCATATTTTAGTTATGAATTTGATTTCAAATATACCAACGTTAGTTCATATACGGCTAACGAAAGCTTACGAAAAGAAAAAATGGTAAAACTGCTATGTGACAAGTATCATAAGTGTTAGAAATATCAGTTTGTAACATTTATTATTAACAAGAATAAAGGAAGGCACACAGATTTAGGAAGCAAAAGTGTTATGAAAGTAATCCATAACTATCGGTGACTGAGCTGCAGATCACCAGCTCTCAACTGCTTTTCATTCCAATCCGCAACCAAAGTCGACGATTTATCGAGCTTGAGTATAGACAATTGAGCCAACGTGTAGCCAAGAAAACTATTCTTTCTCCAGCTTAACAAATAAGTGCATTAAAACCCTAAAAGAGTCTTGCCAGCTTGAGTTAGCATTAGTCTTATGGTTTTGCATCGAGCTGTCGACTATAAGAGTGAGAGATAATCATAGAGAGAGAGAGGGAGAGAGAGAGAGAGAGAGAGAGAGAGAGAGAGACTTTCTAATCACACGGGCAAAGCCAAGAAAATCGCACTCGGGAGAGATATAGACTCATTTGCTAAATTTATGATGGTGGCTGAGCGTGGATTTCCCAGCTTGACAAGAAAATATCGTTACGTGCTAATACGTTTCCTTTAGTATTCCTCAATCAAACAAGTGCTCACCCTCATCTCTCTCTCTCTCTCTCTCTCTCTCTCTCTCTTTCTCTTTATGTTTCATGTGGTAATAGCGTCAGTTCCTTTGCAATTTTAACACAAGCAACGGCGCTTGAAGTAGAATCAAGGACCTGTTCGCCATGGCATACACATAGATGAATGGGCGCCATGAATGTGTAGGTAGCAATTGGCACGTCAATTGTGCTTATAAACGTTTTTGATGGTACGGTTATTTGAGGCGGTAAGGATTCGCTGTTGCGTCAAGTAAATGACTCCATAACGATGCCTTCGAGAATAATTAATTTTTGTCAACTAAATTAGAAATTTTGTTTTCATCAAACCGTTGATGTGGTAGCTCAAAAATTCTAACCAAAATGTGCAATATTGAAAGTTGAATTATAATTTTTTTTAATTTTTAATGACATGATAAGTAGAGTAGTTGAATTATTTATTGCATGTATTAAAAAATATAATCTTGGCTTTAAATAACTGAATAAAAATCGTCGAATAGCTATTTTCATTTTTATTGATTACATTAGCCAATATATTTTTCATAACTGTTATGATGCAAATAAATACTCGTTCATTTAGTTATAATTATATACGATGTCAAAAGCAAAAAGAAGTAGGCAATAGAGAGATAATAGAAGAAAGGGAGAGAGAGAGAGAGTGAGAGAGAAACAATAAAGTAATAAGAAACAAATCTGAAAAAATTTATTAAGCCAAAGTAAGTATAGATGAGGAAATTTAAATTTATGATATTGTTCAATCATTATCATAATGAATCGATCATCTTATTCTTTTAAGCGAAAAAAATGAATATCGATTTATCTATCGGTATAACTTATCAATAATAACGTAAAATGTAATGCATAATTAAATAAATTAGTGTAAACTTATGTAACAAAAATATACAAAAATGTGAAATTTTCTAATATACGTTTATTTCAGATTATAATAAATTAAAGAAAAACTTCCGTATGTTACATAGTACATAAGTGATAAATGCATTTTGTAAGATTATTTAATTAAAATCAATCACATTATGTTCATTAATAAAATATACTTTATTAGATTTATTATATTATGGTAAATTATATTAATAGTACAATGGGATTTACGATCATCATAAGCAATTTTAAAGATATTTTTTAATTTAATCTTTGAATGAATTCTTACGCACAAGTATTTTAAAATATTTATATTAATCCTCATATTCTGTTTATGAGTTAATGCGCGCGCGTGTAATAAATTAAAGAAATGTTCTAATAATTTTATTTTATCAGATAGGCTTAAAAAATTAATAAATTGACATTTTAATGTTACGAGAAATAATTGTAAAGATTTTGAATAATTATATGAAAACTTTAGTGCAGAAATTCTAATTAACCCATAAGGATTTGTTAATAAATTGTTTAAAACTGTTCATATTTGATAAATTTATTATCATACATTGAGAATCGCTAATAAATTTTTAATTGAAACTGAAATAGCTATTAACTTATCATGTGATTATGAATTAAATTTATATTCGAATACACTTTGAACGGAACGCAATGTTTTTTTAAATTTAAGCGAGCTACTTTTGAAATCTGTTTAATGCATTCCTTATTAATTTGAATTGAATATATAATTGTTGGAAAGATATGCGATTGAAAATATTTAACTAAATAAATAGCTTTGGTTAATTTATGCGCATTAATTATGTAATGGGTAACCGACATATCAAAAGGTTAAAATCTTGATGAAGTATAACCTTGCTCGAGTATATAAGTATGCGCGTTTTATACAATTTTATTACCTTTTGAAAGTTATTGTCATCGAAATATTAAGTATAGAGAGGATAACACTCAGAGAGTAATGACTAAATGGGCTGTCATATCGTGAAGATCTAGAAATTTGAAAAAGAAGTGGGAGTAGAGAAATTTGAAAAATCCTTTTTTAAAGCGATTACGGCGAGATGAGTGGATTAATTAGATTTTTTCAATTGAAGTGTCCAGTAGAAGTCCGTTGATGTCAAAATTATGAAATTCGGAAAGAGCTTTTTTATGCTAAAGTAATCAATTATTGTTATTCGTCTCTCTGCGATGGATATGCGTGCCGCAGTTTTGAATACTTGAAGAATTTAAAAGAAATTCATTTGCCTAAGTTATGATACTATACTTACGGGATAATTGATTTCACTTCTATTGTATATATATATATATATATATATTTTCTACTAGAAGTAAAGCTAAATAAATATTTTAAAATATTGTTAAATGTACTTTGTAATATATGATTGATTGTGAATTTTTTTAATTTTGATGGATATAAATTTTTTGTTAAAGATAGATTAATATCTAAAAGTTAATTTTTTATAAATTGTCACTTTCAATAGTGACAGATATTTTGCATGACTTAACAATATTCGTATAAAATCTATTGTATGTAATTACTGTTTCAGACGAAAATTTTATCGATTGTTGAAATTATTGCACATCGTTTTAGATTTAAAAATAAAAGTATATATTAAATTTATCGTGGAAAGCAATACTTTCAAAGTAATAAAATTATTAATCAAACTTAGCTGGTTAATACAAATGTTGAAAATTCCTTTTTTTGCAAAGATAAACAAAGCCTGTATTTGTTGGAATGGCTCTACTTAGCGATATATGATTTTTCTTTGTAATATGATTATAAGTGGAAATGAACAAATTTGGTTTGATATTTATTTAGAGTACGTACAAGAGTAAAGAAATAAGCAATATCTTAGCACTGAAAAGCATACCTACTTTCCTCGTAACACTTTCATCGTTCATTTTAACGAAAATATGGTAATTAAATGGATGCCTTGAAGTTGATATTTGCATATTCATGAATTTCAAGTACTTATTCATTATTAGAAAAACTATTATCAATAGAATTTTATTTATAATTTTATAATTAAAATGCTTAAAATATCTATTATCAAAGTTATGTTTCTTACTTGATTTATTAATTAATTAATTTATTTTCCTAATAATCTCGATCTAATAATCTCGATATACATTGCGATAATTAATATGTATTCTAAATGTATACTAGAATAGGTGAAAAATTGCTGAACGTTGTGTAATACAAAATTCTCTCCATTTATTAATCCTCTTTCAAATTTTCACGACATTTTTCATCATTTATTTTTTAATCAATGTTAAATATACAAATACTTATTTGGGAGCATGACGTGTTATAAGCCAGTATAGTTGTAAAAAGAGTAGACTGTACTACCTTCGTGAACGCGATAAACTAAATTTGCAATTATAATATTCAGTTCTCCATGCAGATGAAGCGTTGAAATCGATATTCGAAATACTTTTCTTTTCAAAGCGAGTAGCAGCTACCTTTAGTAAAGAAAAAAACAAAACAAAACAAGTGCAAAAAAGAAGTGAGAGAGAGAGAGAAGAGCAGGCAAAGCTCTACAAACAAGTAAATCGTAAAACGTAAAATACGAACTTCATTGGTTGAGAAAAATTGCTAAACAGCAGATTAGAATGTGAGGATGACATCAAAAAAAAAAAAAAAAAAAAAAAAAAATAAATAAAAGTGATAAAAATAAATTAAGAAATAAACCAATAAATTCCGTGGACTTTCGATTCCAGACTTGAATTCCACGCTGAGCTCGCAAAGTGTTAAATGAAATCTAGTCACGTGCCCAACCTGTCCAACACATATGCCGGCTGAGGGGTTGGGCAGTTGACCAATCACAGAGCTCAAAGCTCCAAAAATCAGGGCTTCACGCCTGTCTTACCCTTCTTTTGTTGCGTATGTTATCAAGTTGTCGCTGCGTCGCCTCGCCGATGCTCTGCGAGCCCCAAAGTTCGAGGCCGATTCGCGCGTACGTGAAGGTCATCGAGCCAATTGGTAGGAAGTACGTTAGTATCATGAACACCACATTGTACCTGTGCAGAAATTTCGTGAAATGTACAATTGTCAAGAGGATGCTTATTCCACGCGGAGGCGCTCCTTAATTAAACTTTTCTCCGAGTGATATGTTGGAATTAGGAGTTGGATAAGAATTTCATTAAGCTTCTTGAAATTGTAATTAGTTATCGCGCTAGAGAGCATTTTTATCCCTTTGATTATTTACAAAGGGTACAAATATGTATTTGCGCTGAGGATTTATCTCTCATTACTGGCCCATTGTCCTCGTCCCTGATTTATATAAATCAACAACGATGTGATTAAGTGTGATTTATCGAGGCATTAAGTAATGATTGTTTCGAATGAATTTCAATTGAATATATTTAATTGCGGATGTTGCCGTGGCAAATGAGAGGTAAATAAAAAATTGTCGATTAAAGTCTGCTGATACGAAATTTTTCACACTTAACGTTATATTTACTACAATGAAGCACATGTTTACGAGCTAAACAGTACATTATAATAGCGATAAAAGATTATTTTTTTTCCCATTGGTTTTTCTTAGAATAATATCGCACATATGGCTATAGTTAAATAAAATGAAATACAATGAAGTGATAATAATAATAATGCAAAACCATAATTATAGGATATAAAAATATTATTACTTAGATTTACGTTTAGATGCGTGGTTATTCGTTGTTCAACAACAATCTGTAGTTTTAACCGTCAAAAAGATTCCGTGCAAACTAGCGCTCTACCTTAATTAATAATGTATAAAGCTCCATTGAAGATTATCTCAAAATTATTACCTTTACTATGTCTTTATTTTTCATTATTTCCGCACGCTTCGAGAACAACACGATAGAAACAATTTATCCGACCCGACGGCATAGTAAATCTTTGCTCTTATTCCCTTCTATCTATCCAATTTCTACCCATTTTCAAGCTTATCTCCTATGATCTGTCCTTCATATAATTAAGGCACTCTTGGACGCTAATGGACATTTTCACGCAATCCTTTTGTCTACGGAAATGGCAACTATAAAACGGATACTTAACTATATAAACATTATTATTAAACTTGTTGAAATCGTTTAATCCACTGCGCCAAGTCCTCGGTACTGGGATGTCACGCATTAATTACGAAATAAACGCACGCGCGGGCATTGGCATTCCATTTAAAGGATCTTAGCTCTCATCGGGTTAGTCGTCGTTGGCTGTAGGCACCCGACGACAAAGGACATCATTGTTTCTGTACTTACAAATACTCGTCGTAGCTCTGGCCTTTGTTGTCCTGATCCGGCCAGCTCGCGTAGCAGATGACCCTCACCTCACCGTTAGTAAAGTTTTGCGTGAACGTCGTGAAAAAGAGCAGCATCGGCAGCGATAGGACCGCGCCCACCGCCCAAATGGCTAGAGCTATGCAAAGGGTCGTCCTCTTGCCCATCCGAGGCCTCAGGGGATTCACGATCGCCATGTATCTGCGAATAAATCGAACCGAAATTTCTAGTAGAAAGCTCTGCCTCTACTTCGATTCACACGCGCGCACACCCGCACTCTCTCTCTCTCTCTCTCTCTCTCTCTCTCTCTCTCTACCTCTCTCTACCTCTCTCTACCTCTCTCCCCCTTTCACTCTGTCTCTCTGTCTCACTTTCATCCCAAGCATCATCATCATCCGCGTACGCTTATTCTCCCTCTATCTATGTGTTTTCTCCTATATGTTACGTATATTCTTTTGCTCCTTCTTTCACTTATGTAACGCAGACTTTTGTCAAAGCTTGGCGTTTCTTCTCGAAGACCATTTCACTAGATATATATATATATATATATATATATATATATATATATCATAATTGTTGATCCTCGGGGTATGAAGCCGGACATTAGTGGAGTTAGTTTTTTATACTTCATGCTTTTATAAGACAACGTATTATTTCTCTGATCGCATCCCGGTATTTTCTCCTCACTTTTACATTTTTACTAATGCCTTTTAACAAAATCATTCTCACGACGTGTAAGCCATAATTTTACATTAAAAGAGATTTTCATTATAAATATTTATTTAATTGCCCATATTGTTATGCATTTGAACGTATTTGAATATATATGAACGTATATTATGGAGCGAAATAAAAAAATTATAAATACGTATATTAATATTAATTAATATAGATAAATTATATTTAATATATAAATAGAAAAAGTTAATTCGCTACTTGGTAATTATAGACGTTCGATATTAAAAGACGTAGTTATATGATTTTCTACAATAATCTTATTAAATTTTGCTACGAAGTCTGCAATCGGCTTATTGTTAATTAAATAACACTTCAAATAGCTGACATTATATTAAACAATATAAATTTAAATTTCTAATAAAACATTGAAAATGCTTGGTTAATATAAATAATCCTAATACGATAATATGCTTTAGGATAAACTAATTTTCTATATGTTTAAATTAATTTATGCTAAGTCCAGCTTTTAACGTTAAATATAAATAAAAAATTAATGGCATATATTGTATAATATACAATAATAAATAGAATAATTTGTTTTTAAATATTTTTGCATAATTTTGGCGATAGAAAATATTCTTTAAATATTGTAAAATAGTTTGAATAGCTTGAAATTTTCTGAGATAATTTTTCTGAAATGTTGAGATTAAGCAAGAATTTAATATAGTTCATACGTATAATTTATCAATAACTTTAATTGAAAACTAGTTAAATTATTTTTACGACAGTTGAAATTATCGAACACTGATTATGAATTCAAATAGATTTTACTAAACATGTTTATTTATACAAAAATATTGGAAACCGAAGCAATCACAATAGACGAAAGTAAATGAAATTAAAATATAAATTGTATCACAATTAATGTAATGAATTTGTTTTTAGTTGAAAATATAATAAATGAGATGCAATACAGAAATATAAATAATATGGGCTAAATATACGAAGTTTAAATCAATTAAAGTGCAATATGACATGATTAATTAATTAGAAATACATCTTTATAATAAATTCATAAAAAGAAATTAACAACATCTTTTATTTTATAATTATTTATAAAAAAAAAATAAAAAAAATTAATATAATAAATTATCCTTGTACTGACAAATGAATGATTAATGTATGTAAAAATGTTATGTAAATATTAACTAAATAATCTCATATTCCAAAAGAGTATACTTTATTATATAATACATTATAATTATATTTTAATATTAACAAATACTTTAACATATAATTCATCTGTATGCACACAATGAATACATAGTTATTAATATTAATTATGAAAAGTATTTGATAACTAATATTGCTGGTGCATGTATTTAGAATTAAATAAATAAATATCATATCAATTAAATAAATTTTGTTTATGACGAATCTACTTACGAGATAATTAATATGCATTTCAATGATAATATTGTTGTTACAGGCAAAATATAAGTTATACGAGTATAAATTATGTAACTAATGGATATGAATTGACAGAGAGTAAGAATAAATTTGTTTTACAAATAGAAAAAAATTTGTAAAAATGTGCAAACAAATAATAAAAGTAATTAAAAATGGCATAATAATTATACAATATCTAATGCAATTATGTTTACGTAATTAGTTAGAAGCGAGATATATTAGATTGCAAGTTATATGTAGTAGACGAAACTACTCAATTATTGAAATAATAATATCTTAATACGTTTCTTCTTATTTTTATAATTTTACTAAAATCCAACATAATTATCAATACTTGAATTTATCAGACGTTAAATTTCTAATGAATTTTCATTTAAGTAACACAGTACAGTAATAATAAAACTATTAACAAAATGCTTACAATTAAAAAATATTATTGTAATTTAAGTCACATTAACAATATATATTATTCGTATAAATTAAAATATTAATGTAGAACGAAGTAGTGCGATGCAATTATGCAGTCGTCGTTTTAATTGCTCACATAAGACTTTCAAACAATCAGTGTAATCTGATAAGAAGCGAGAGGTAGCGAAGAGTTTAATAAGTTTTGTATTCCGGATTTTATTCAAACAAAGTAATTATAGAAAACTTAGTCGTATTTAACAATTAATTTTTTAAAATTATTCTAAAGTTTAAAGATAAAATGCTTTCATAATTAAATATGTGTTACAGTAGGTATTTCATTCATAAGTTTTTATTTTCGTAATTAATCAATTTGTAAACTCGTTTTTAAATTACTAGTAAAAACGGAGATTATCTTTGAAAATAACTTAACTATATCAGAACTTAGTAATATAAACTAGCAGTGATTGAAAAATAGAATTGTGGGGAGGGGGGAGGGATCGTAATTAGAGATAGAATTATTATATAAGAGCGAGAATTCCGTAGTCCCTTGTAGCTTGTAAGGCAGGTTAGGCTTATATCAACCTTATTCAGGAGTTCAGTGGGCTCACCCCCGATCAAATGTGCATACACCAATCAATCATCCCTATTCCGATTATATCTTATCCTTGCAGTGTTCCACACATATATTAGACATACGCATACACACGCAAAGTGCAGGATTAGTTTTTAGAATATGCACTACAATTGTATGATTATATAATTATTATTATTATTATTGAGGTTGTTAACTTGTATTGAAAAATAGTGTATATTAGGTGTTGTGAAAGTGCTAAAATTATTTTCATTATAAAATTGATTTTTATAATAATATACCATTTAAATACGTGTATACTTTTTTAACGAATTACATCATATTTCTTCCTTATGCAGTTGCATGTTTTAAAAAGTAAATACTTATATTTAAGAAGAACATTTATAGAAATAGATTTATTTAAAATATATGAAGAATTAATCTATTTTATAGTATATTGATAATATTACATCTGATTATATATAAATATATATAGATAATATTTCTTAAAACAATTATAATTAGATAATAAAATACATTGATAAAATTAATTTTCTTTTATTTTGTATTTGAGTTCTATTCTTATTTTCAACATGTTTACTATAATATTAATTTTTTACTTTTAGTTTGTATCTATGCTTCGATTTATATAAAATATTTATTGCTGAGTCTCCATAGTCAGTTTGATCATAGTAAACTTATTACTTTTCCTTAACTTGATCATGTTTAATACTGTGTAATTTTATATCTTTTATTCTTTCATTTTTAATTTACCGACTTAACAAGAAACTAAATTGATCCTTCTTATTATTACTTTCAATACTCACCGTCGCTATAATTTTTTTCTCCTTTCTTAAACTTTTACAATAACTTTTTTTGGTTCATATATAAATTAGTCTTTTAGTTTTATTATTAATTATACTAATGGTATATTGAAAAAGAAAAAATTCTTTCATCATATCTATTATGGCAGTTATTTTTTAATATATTTGATTAATTTAAAAAAAATTTTTCTTAAATTATTATTTTCATTGATTTTTCTCCTTAATTCATACGGATATTATCCTAATTATTTAAATTTTTTAATCAATAAAATTATATTAGAATCGAAGTTACAATAAAACAGAAAATTTGTTTAGAAGGCATTAATTGATATTACAGTTTGTATTTTACAATTAACATATTTAATTTCTTCAAATACATAAATTAACAATTTCAGTATTCAAAATCAACTGTTAGATATTAGGTTCATTTTCATAAATTAAAACTTTTCTAATTGAGAATGTAAAAATAATTTAATACAATTCATTTTGCACAAAATACGAGAAGAGTATTGTTATTTAAGATATTATTATAAGTTGTCATGTTTTATTTCATAGAACCGAACATAAGACTGTAAATTTGTAATTGCATTTAAATAATTATTGGATACATTAATAAGAAAATTGCTGTTATATTAGATATTAATTAATTTATTTAGATCCCTATTATCAAATGCATATTATTCGTTACAGTATTTTTTACAGTATTCGTTACAGTATTATGAAATTATATTTCATATGTTTGATGGAATTTAAAAATAAAATTACTTATAATTAGTGATGACTATGCATCTATTCATTAGAAACAGTAATACAATATAAGTATACGACACTATTTTAAAGTAAATTAAGCGAAGAATTTAATTACCTAATTTAAGTATTACTTGTATTACTAGTTCATTTAAAATATCATTAAAGTAAATAACAAAAAATGTTTTTCTTTTTTTTTTATCTTTTACAAGGTATCTATTATTTAGTTTCATATTTAATGTTTCATTGTTAAATGTGGAATTCATTATGTAGTTTGTAAGAGCAGAAGTAGATATTTTTTTTTAAAGAAAATAATTCATAAAAATATGAGAAAATATATTAAATTTCTAGTCAATTACAGTAATTTCATTTCCTTCATATCTTTCTTTATTTAGATTAAATTTTTAATGAAGCTAGATACAGATTCTACAATTAAAATGTATTCTTGAATGAAATATGAGGTCAATAGAAAATAAAATTTAAATGATGAAATTTGAATGGCC